AAGGAAAGTTCTCTTACGCATGCGAAAGTTTCTCAGCCACTGTGATTCATCCCAGACCTGCAGCACTATGCGGTCCCACCAGTCCGTGCTTGTTTCCTGGGCCCAGAATCGTCGTTCCACAGCACCAACATGACCCATTGTCACCATGATGTCCACGGCGCAGGGTCCCGTGCTTTCTGACAGGTCTGTGCCACTTTCAGACTTAATGTCCTCATCGCGCTGCCGTAGACTGCTCGCCCGATTTCTCAGCATCTGCCTCTGAAAAAGGTGGATGATAAGGTGCGAGGTGTTGACAATGGCCATAACTGCAGCGATGGTCGCAGCAGGCTCCATGCTCACAGTGCTGTGGCGTCCGCGCTGTCACTCACCAGAAAAGTGCGCAAACTGATTGCCCGCCGGCACTTTCAGGGTGGGAGGGCGGGAGTGACGGTTGGATGATGACAGTTACCCAAAACCACCCTCGACACATTTTTTTCCCCAGCAGGCATTGGGGGCTCGACCCAGAATTCCAATGGGCAGCGGGGACTGCGGGAACTGTGGGATAGCTGCCCACAGTGCACCGCTTCCAGTGTCGACGCTTGCCCCGTTAGTGTGGACTCACAAAGTCGAATTACTGTTCTTAGTGTGGATACACACATTCGACTTTGTAATATCAGTTCCACTAATTCGATTTAAGTAAAATCGAACTACTCTCATAGTGTAGACATACCCTTAGACTAAATCCTGACGTCTGTTGACTAAAGCATCTTTCAGAAGCCATTCAGTCTAGATGTGAAGACATCAATAGACAGTAACACCTGAAGCTCCCTAGAAGTGGGGGGGGGGCGCCACCAGTGCCCAAACCATGACCCCACCCCTGCTCTGCCTCTTCCCCCGAGATCCCACCCCCTGCTCACTCCTCTCCGCCCCCTCTCCCCATCACTTGCCTTTAAGGCAGGTACAAAGGCAGAGAGCAGAGCTCTCCCACTTTTAAAAGTGATGGGGCCATGGCCCCCTGTTCTGGTTCCCCTGTCAAGAGATGGAGAATCCACCACTTCCCTTGGCAGTTTCTTCCAGTGGTTAATCCACCCACACTCTTGAAAATGTCTGTCTGATTTCCCCATTTGAATTTCTCTGGCTTCAACTTCCAGCAATTGGTCCTTGTTGTGCCTTTGTTTGCTAAACTGAGGAGCCCTTTAGTACCAAGTCTGTTCTCCCCATGAAGGTATTTATATACCACACTCAAGTGCCAGGGTTCTCTCGGTGCAAGTGATTACCAGCCCTCAAATCATTTTTGTGGGTCTTCTCTGCACCATCTCCACTATTTCTGGGGCCACCAGAACTGGATGCAGTTTTCCAATATCGGTCTCACCAAAATGAGGGGGAAGCTTGTAGTGTCAAAGCTGGGATTGGACCTATTCCTGGGGCAACTGAGAATTTAATCCTCCAGGGTCTGCTGAGCTACAACCAATCACTAGAATAAAATACATGTTAGTAAAACACAAACATGAACGAGCTCCACAGCGAGTAACACTGGGTTGTTCTTCAGATGTGAGAGGAAGAAGTTTCAGAACCCAGTGGCCTTTTCTTCTGAACTGAAATGGAGAATCTGGGAATCTTCTCAAAGAAATGCAGCTCTGGAGACCAGAATGAAGAAATTCAAAGGTAATAAACAGTCCCCTGGGGGATTTTCTCACATATGTTACACTAATAATTGACAGAGCTGGAGAAATCTCTTAGGGACAATGATAGTGGATGGAGATAGTCAACTAATAATTTGGAACCTATGAATTCCTTACTCAGCTCTCAATACAGCACATACACACTGGGTTAGAGTCCTAAATTTGGACTCGCTGTGGGTTTTCCTTTCTTAACAGCTATGAATGTTAAACTTAGCTTGAGCTTCCTGCTGTATTAGCTGTCTGTCAGGAAGGATGAGCCAGTTTTACTGAGTACTAGCGGTACAGGGGCAGATTTAAAGTTGATTGAATGCTAATGAGTGAAAAAGTTTCTGTGTATTGGTCTGTCTGTGAATTAGGTGTTTGTTTCAGAGGATTTCTCTACACAGCAATTAAACACCTGTGGCTGGCCCGTGTCTGCTGACTCCGGCTCACGAGGTTTGGGCTCGGCTGGAGCCTGGTCTCTGCGACCCGCTCCTGTCAATGGGTCCCAGAGCCCAGGCCTCTGCCCAAGCCCGAGCATCTACACCGCAATTAAACAGCCCCAGTGCCCGAGCCCTGCGAGCCCAAGTCAGCTGTCATGGGCCAGCCACAGGTGTTTAATTGCTGGTAAAACATCTCTGGATCTGTCATGTAACCTTAGGTCATGTCCTTAGTTTTTAATGTTCGTGGTTATTTTTTAGTGAGGTGTGTAATGGTTTGTGTTGGTCTGAATTACACTTAGCCTCCTTTACTGTAACTTAATAAAGTTTGTTTTCTTTTCATTTTGTTTTTGTGTTAGAACATTAACAATGTGAATATATTCATAAACATGACATTTCATCTTTTTCACCCTTTCACCATTTTGTCTTTCACCCGTTTCTTCCTCTAGACTCACTCTCGTCTAGCCAGCGGTTGGACAAAGGTAAATTTCTGGGATCAAAGGGGGAGTGAAAACTTTCATATGAATTATGGTTGCTCATTGGCAGCACCATAGTTCAGGTTTTGTTTCAATTTTGCATTTGACAGGAGCTGAGCACTATATTACTGGTGGCTACACAGATCTTTCCTAAAACCAGAAAAGTAGATTATTTTCTCTGTTATAATTTAGAATTTTTAACTAGTGGTTTGATTAACCAGATGGGCTGGGCTGCAGGAGAGGGGGCGAGCAGTGTATTTGTGTAGAGATCTAAGAGTTTAAAAGTGAGTCTTTTGGAAAATCAGAGAGGAACATCTCACCTCATTTGCAGAACTCTTTATGCACATACATCACAACCCCTGGCAATATTATTATTATTATTAGCAAATGCACAAGTGGTACAATGAAGAATGGGAGAATTCAACATACAAAAATAGACATTTCTGAATTGATCGTGAGAGATGCAATTTCTGAGTAGAATTAAGCCTCACTCATGATCTCGTGATAGAACTCTCAAGTATCAGGATTTTGTTTTGAGCTGCGGCTGAAAAAAAATCCCAACATTTGAGAGTTCTATCAGTGAGGCTTAATTTTACTTAGAAATCCTGTCAGCTGCCCTGGGCACAGCTGCGGCTTCTGCTGTCAGTCACCCCAGTGCGGCTGCTCCCCTGGGAAGTGGGAGAGGAGACCCCACTGTAGCCCCCAGGCCTAGGGAGGGTGAAGAACCCCAGGAGGAGCAGAGGTGGGGCTGGAAGGGCTTCATTATGGCCTGGGGGCTGCAGGGGGCCTGAAGTGAGGGGGGGGCTGTATTGCTGGTGGGTTCTGAGCAGATAGGGTGAGTGCTGGGAGGGTGAACTGAGGGCAGTGGGGTAGGGGTGCTGAACTGATGGGGGGTGATGATGGGGGCTGGGGGACTGAATTGCAGGGGGTTGGATGGGGACAGAACTGATGTGGGCTGGGGAACAGGATTAATTGCTGGGCAGGAGACGGGCAGATGGGGGGTGAGAGCTCCTGCAACAGGAGCCGAAATCACCTTCTCCAGGACATGTGGGAGAGTGGGCAACACTGATTGTCACATGCGCACACCCTGGGAAGGGGTCAGGGGCGTTCAAACATCAAGAGACTGACCTAAAAATGATAACAGAATCCTTTTTTAAAAGGTTATGATTTTTGGGCCAATCTCATAAGATTTGATCTCTTGAAGTCGGCAATACTGTATTAGCCATTGCATAGCCTTGGGGTCAGCAGTGTGGAGTTTGGAAAATCCCCGATAGACCAGCACAAGCCGAGCAGCCGTTCAGTAAGTGTGCGGTGTCCTCACCCACACCACAGCTACACAGAGTCATGCAGCACCAGTGATATCTCTGTAAAAGCAGGTTTTCTAGTGCTCAGCTGGCTGATCGTTAGGAGGGGGGGCTCTGCAAGGAGACGGGCTGTGCAGAGTCGCATCATTGGACAGGGGGACTTTGGATTCCCTGTAATTTGCTGGGAGCCTCCTATGGTGCCAGGATCTCTAATCACATCTGTGGGGAGAGGTGGGTGCAGGTGGGGAAAGATTCCAGGGCCTGATTGTCAGGCCCTTTTGTGCTGCTCTGTCAGAGCAAAGGGGCTTTAATGTGCCTGGAAACAGACCCCAGAAAATAGCTCCTGTGCAGGAGAGCCCCCCCCCCCCCACTCCGTGTGAAGTTGGCACAGGGGCTCCACAGCAACTGCTCCCAGCCATTACTGTAGGAGTGGGTTTGGGGCATGCAGGGGGCCACAGCCGTCCATAGGGGGGTGCGGGGTCCGGGGCAGAAGTGACGGATTCCTCTTCCGGGACCAATGGCACTGGCCAATCACACCGGCCTGCATGGTCTCTCAAAGTGTGGGGCCCAGAGCAGTCTCCCCAATTCACCCTACCCAAGGGACGGCTCTGCTGGGGGCATAGACAGGAGGCATCACACTCTGGCTGCTGTCTGCTTTGCAGCCCTGAGGCCCCTGTAACTAGGGGCCAGGGAGACTAAAGGAAGGACACAGGTGCCTTAAACCCACCTCCCTCTAACCCCACTTGTCTTTCCCCCAAGCACAAGGATGGAATAACTGAGAATCAGACGCTGGGTCTGGGGGCCTGGCTCAGCGGAGCTGATCCCTTCACTCTGTCCCTGAACTGGCTCTGTCAGGGGTGTGAATCCCCCCTGCCCATGGCTGAGATCTCAGCGCTGCTCCCCATGCAGAGCTGGGTAAATCCTGGAGGCAGGAGATTCTCTGAGTCACTCCCCAGTTGGGGCAGGTTCTGTCACTGACACGATCAGACCCTGCCCCAGGGCTGAGCTCTGCCCCTCACGCTCTGATTCTCTCTCTGCAGCACACGTGACTCTGGATCCAGACACGGCCCATCCCGAACTCATCCTGTCTGCGGATCGGAGAAGTGTGAGATGGGGAGACACACGGCAGGCTCTGCCCAATAACCCTGAGAGATTTGACACTGAGCCCTGTGTGCTGGGCTGTGAGGGATTCACCTCGGGCCGACATTACTGGGAGGTGGAGGTGGAGGAGTGGAGACTCTTTGCTGTGGGGGTGGCCAGAGAGTCTGTGAGCAGGAAGGGATGGATCAGCTTTAACCCTGAGCAGGGGATCTGGGCTTTGGAGTGCGATGGAGATCGGTACTGGGCTCTCACATCCCCTGAGCACGGCATCACCTTCTCCCTGAGCCGGGCACCCCGCAGGATCCGGGTTTATCTGGACTATGAACGGGGGCAGGTGGCGTTTTTCGATGCTGATTGCGGGGACCCGATCTTCACTTTCCCGCCGGCCTCTTTCGCCGGGGAGAGAATCCGCCCGCTCTTCTGTGTTGTTGTTAGTGTGCGGCTCCTCTAGCCCCCGCCCTCCTGATCTCTATGACCTGGAGGACTCAGCCAGTCTCCCTCCACACAGACAGGGCTGAAGGGGGGGTGACGCTCTACCCGTAGCTCTATGGCTGTGGAGGTCTGTGTGAGGCGCTCTAGGCTGGGTCTCTGTGCTCCTAAGAGGCCAACTCTGTGTGCAATGGGGGGGGGTCCCATCAAGGAAGGAGGGAGCCCCTGTGGGAGGGACCCAGCCAAGGGCCAGGGAGAGACCCCTCAACTGGGGGGAGTGTAGAACTGATGAATGAAATTGTTTTTAATTGTTCACTTTATTAATGTAACTTCAAAAGTAAAGTTTTATTAATGAAACAATGTTCATTCATAAAACCGGTTACCCCAATAACTGGCTAATTAACAGTTAAGATGCTTGTTAAGAGCCATAGCTGTTCAGTCAGCTGCCTTTGTAAATTTCACTATCAATCCAATTCCTGCTTAAATCACTAAGGCTAGGTCTACACTACCCGCCTGAATCGGCGGGTAGAAATCGACCTCTCGGGGATCGATTTATCGCGTCCCAATCCCCGAATCGACGCTCTTACTCCACCAGCGGAGGTGGGAGTAAGCACCATCGACAGGAAGCCGCAGAGGTCGATTTTGCCGCCGTCCTCACAGCAGGGTAAGTCGGCTGCGATACGTCGAATTCAGCTACGCTATTCACGTAGCTGAATTTGCGTATCTTAAATTGACCCCCCCTGTAGTGTAGATGTAGCCTAAGACTTGCACTGTTTCAGTATTGTAACTTCTGTTCACCATTTATTACACTTGCCTACAGTGTAACTTCTGTTCACTGTTTGCCATATTGTAATTCAAACCCCATTTTAAAACGCTTACTCCATTTTGTAAGGGCTTGCTGCAACCTTTTAGAAATCTCCCTGATTTTGCTGTCAGCTATTTATTGTATCTGACTTTCCTCCCAAAGTGGTCTTTCTAAAATGTGGATAAATGCATATTTGGATGGTGTATGTTCATATTATTAAATTTGCTGACAGTAGAATTGTTACTGGTGTGACTGTTGCCTGGTATGAATCACCACTGAGAATGCCCAATTCAGGACAGGGCAGATACACCCCCAGAACTAATGGTTTATTCTATAATTAGATTCACCAAAACAGTAACAAAATGAGCTCTTATATCCCCACACTGGTTAACAGGAAGCCAAAGCACCGTCCCCTCTCGGCATTCCAGCTCCTGGCTTGTCCATCCAAACTTGTCTTTTGTGAAAAATTATTACTAAAACCAGAAATCACATATAAAGTTCTTCCAATCCCAAAGCCACTGTCCTCAGGTCAATATATACGTTAGATCTTACCCAAAAATCACGCTGCAGCCAGTCCCCTTAGTAACTAAAAACTAAAAGTTTATTAATAAAAAAGAAAAGAAGAGATTTAGTAAATGGTTAAAAGAATCATCTACATTACAATTGACGTAGAGAGTCTGTAGCTCAGGATCATAGCAGAGATGGGCGTTCTGCTAGTTTGCAATGAGTCTTTTTCGATCATCCAAAAGCTTAGATACGAAATGAGAGTTTAGATGTAGAATCTATTAGAGTCCTTCCATGCATCTTTCCAGGGCATTCAAGTAATCACTTGGGGATCTCATTCCCACGGCTTCAACTGTCCCCATTTAAAATTTAGCAGAGCAGAGATGGCAGAATCGGGCCCAAGGTCTCTCTTTTGTAGCTGAAGCAGGCTGGCAAGCTGATGAGGCAAGTTCACCAAGTGGGCTTTGATGAGAACAAACACCAATCATCTGTGATCCTTATTCAATGGGTGATTCAAAGCTAATGCCCTTAGCTACAGACATTTAAACTACCAAGATGGTTTACAGTTGGTTCACAATGTGGAATCACAAGTTTCGAAGAGAGATGAGGACAATAACATTATTACTTCCCGAGCTTCATGTAAATGCTGACCATCCCTTCTGATTTTGGAGACAATTGAATACAGTGATATAGTGTATTAAGACAGGAAAAGGATTTAGCAACTACCAACTAATTTGGATACATTGATACACTTCCTACAGGATGTAGGTAAACATAGACACCTACATACATTTAGTAGGTTTCAGAGTAGCAGCCGTGTTAGTCTGTATCCGCAAAAAGAACAGGAGTACTTGTGGCACCTTAGAGACTAACAAATTTATTTGAGCATAAGCTTTCGTGGGCTACAGCCCACTTTATCGGATGCATAGAATGGAACACACAGAAAGAAGATATTTATACATACAGAGAATATGAAGAGGTGGGAAAGCTTATGCTCAAATAAATTCGTTAGTCTCTAAGGTGCCACAAGTACTCCTGTACATTTAGTACCTACCCTTGACCGTTATCACTACACATGGATGAGTTAGTGGTTGCTAGTCTAATTAACATTTCTTTGATACTCTCACACAAGTGAATAGTCCTGATTACAATTGCAATGCCTTGTTACGCCTCTAAGGGTCATACACATTTTGGCTGGTTTGTCAGCACCACTGGTGGTATCGATAAAGAGGTCCAGATTTTCTCTGATGAGCTCACTTGCAGATCAGTGAAATAATGGTGCAAACCGTAGAGCTAGTTGAATTATTCAGTATAAATAACATCCTGTGCCAGTTTGAGGCCTGATTTTTCAGGAGTAGTGAGTTCAAATTCACTATTTAACCATTCACAGCCGAGCATTTTGGAATCAAGACCCAACTAATATGATTTATTGTACAATCTCAAACTGCTTCCTGAGTGCCAAAAGCCCCAAATATCCTCTGGCCAGCCAACAAAACTTGCAGCTTTCCTCAGTATCCATTTGATAACCAACATCCACAGCGCAGTCACCAACCAATAAAAAACTGTAGTTTGTTGAAAGCAGGAAATTTAGCATCAAAATAAATACTCCAAAGGAAGTTTCACCAGACTGGATTATACATGTTTATGCTCTTCAATGAAAAAGTGTTTTTAATATACAGACTCTGCTGCTGAACTTTGAACTCACCCACAGCTGTGGAACACTGCACAAACCAGAGGCTCTTGCTGCACCGGTTACATCCAGTCTGTTACTAAGTGCTGGGGATCTTGGAATGCACAAGCACAGAGAAGTGAGAGAAGCAGAATTTATTGAAGCATGACATGTATTTTTCCTTGAAGGACCTTTTGTAAGGTGTTGGGTATTATGGTCTTTATTTCATTGAACCAACTTAACCTACCTCCTTCCCCAATACGCGACACTGCCACCTGTATACACCTTCTTCTTACACTCTCGTGAGGATTCAGACCAGATTTGGAACTTGACTTCATTATGCTGGTGCTCATCCTCTTCTACCCCAGACAGCTGTTTGTATTTTTCCATGAGATCTGGTGACATTTACTCAGCGCTCTCTTGGCTTGCAGGGCAAGTCTGGTGAGAACTTAGTTGCCACCATCATGCTGTGCGCACTGCATAGCACAAAGTTCCTGCTGGCTGTTGTCCAACCCTGCTCTCTCTCCATTGTACCGCTGACCTCTATCTGCTCCTGCCTGCATCTCTACATGATGGACAGGACATGAAGGTCTGAAACAGGAGCTATGGCTCAGTGAAGAGGGCACTTTGATGTCACTCAGGAAGCCGATGATCGGTTCCTGGTTCTAAGACTGACCTGCTGTGTGACCTTGGTCAAGTCATTTCATCTCTCTGTGCCTGTACCCCCACGTATAAAATGCAGCTAATGGTGCTTCACCACACCCCTGTGACATAGGGCAGTATTGCAAAATCTGAAAGGATTTTATATCAGTAGTCAATAATTAGAGAGGAAAAGGTCCAAGTTTTATGGATTTTATATCAGTATTTGAGAATTAGGATGATTGATGATCTTCACCCATCATCAGAAGAAGGTCCTGTACTAAATGCTGGCTAACAACCAGACTGACAGCAGTCTAGGGCATTTGATGTCCCCCAGCTAGCACCAGAGTTGCCTTCACAAAAAATTCATGGTGAACTTTCCCTTGAAAAGGAGATTATAGGCAGGCCATTAACAGAAGATTTTCACTGTCAGAAAATTATTTCTTTTGTAAGGGCCTAATCGTTGCTTCCTTGCCCTACATCTCTTATGATAAGAGGCCCAATGTCTCCCAGCTCGATTTTATTAGAGTCCAACTCACAGGTTATAACCCAACGAGTGGTAGGTACTTCCACTACCTTGGAGAGTGACAGTGGCTCATACTGACAGTGATTGTCCCCCAAAGATAAGTTCACTGCTCCAGAGTCTGAAGATTTGGTTTGAATCTGCATGTTATTTTCTGAGAAGTTGGTTAAAAACGCCTCACAGTGAAAACCACTTGATGGCATACGTCACTGGAAACTGGCCTTTTTGTCACTCGAACAGCTTTGCCGATCAGGACTTTGCAGAAGTTAGACTGAGGCAAAGACGCCCATCTGTGCCTCATGCAAAGCCCTTGGCCAAAGATATCAAAATGTCGTCATGCTGCAGTTGGTGAGAATCAGGCAGTGATTCTTGCCCACCAATGTCCCAGCCAGGGCCGGATTTCCAAATAGGTGCCAGTGTCCTAGGGCTGTGGGTTGCCAAGTCTGAGATTTTCTAGCCCAGTCGGGCTATTTTTAGCTGTCAGTTGCGGGGGTGGGGGATAGCAGTTGTGAGTTGCGGTATTTTGGGATATTTTGCTGCCCTGCTGCCACTGGCCGCACGGCTCGGGAGTTCTCAGGAGGGAGGCAGCCTCCTGCTGTCCCCCGCCTCCTGCCGAGACACCCCACATGCCGCTTGTCTCTCGTTGTGCCTCCCCCGAGGTGACATTTGCAGCATGCGCAGAATTCTCGTCCGAGAGCGGCAGAAATTGTTTTTCTGCAGAAAGTGTGCTGCAGTTCTGCCTTTCGCCCAGCAGAGGCCGCTGTGGCACCAGGACAGCCTGAGCTGGCTGAGTCTGACTGGTCTGGGGGGCAGCAGCAAACAGCTGGCAGGAGGGTGGCCGGATGCTGTGCCTAGGGGTGTGTAAGGTTTAAATCCGGGTCCTGGCCCCAGCCACCTATTTTCCCTCTTCCTCTGTCACAGACCATCTGTATGTACCCTGATGATGTGTGAGAACATGGCTACAAAGACAGTATTTAGAAATTATTGTATCAATTGCAGAGGGCAAACATTACACAGAAAATAGATGGTCACTGCCACAGTGATTGGAGGCGTATGACTCTAGGATCCTCCCCTTCTAAAGGCTGGAATACCACCAGCAGCCCACGGTACTTTGTACATTTTCCCAGAACTACCTGGTTCGGAGAGCTGTGCCATGAGCGATGCTGTAGGTCCCTCTGGAGTCCCACAACACAGTGACACAGCAATGGCGGGAAGAAACGCTGTATAGAGCTGGGTGTGGATGTGGCAGGGGCTGTTTTTCAACCCGCTGTTCTGCAGTATGGACATGCTGCACCATTGCAGGGACCAACAGCGTCAGGTGCAGCCACTC